TGGGGGGGGGGGGGGCTGGGGGCATGTTTGGGGGTGTTTCTGGGGAGTGTTTCAGATGTCTTTTGGGGGGTGTTTGGGGGTGGTTTTGAGGGGTGTTTGAGATGTGTCTGGGGCTGGTTTTGAGGGGCGTTTGGGGGTGCGTTTGGGCTCACCCCGTGCCCCCCCTTGCCCCCAGAGCGCTCTGCACATCGCGGTGGTGCTGGGGCTGGCGGGGGCCGTGGGGCGGCTGCGGGCGGCGGGTGCGGGGCTCTGCGTGCGGGAGCGGGGGGGGGCACACGCCCCTGCACCTCGCCTGTCGCGAGGGGCACCCCGCCTGCGCCCGCGCCCTCCTGGGGGGGCTCCTGGAGGCAGCCCCCGAGCCCCGGCAGCCCCCGGAGACCCCCCCAGAGCCACAGGGCACAGCGGGGACCCCCCCGGAGCACCAGAAGGAGGAGGACGAGCTGCGGGCGCAGCTGGAGAGCGTCAACTATGACGGTGAGGGGGGGGTCCAGAGCGCACACTGGGGACGTGGGAGACACAGCAAGAGAGTGGGGGGCACGGCAGGGGAGGGGAGGGATACTGTGGGGACACAGTTTTGGTGAGGGGGACAGGGCAGGGGGTGGTGGAATGCTGTAGGAACGCGGTTTTGTGCGTGGGATACACGATTTTGGGGGGAACGCAGCGGGGGGCGGTTGGACATGGCAGGGGGGGTGCAGGACGCCGTGGGGCCGTGTGGAAAGTTGGGAACACAGTTTGGCGACACAGTTTGGGGTAGGGGTCACCCAGTGACACACCTCATGGTTCTGGGGACCCCCCCAACTCCCCTTCCCCTCTCTCCCAGGTTACACCCCCCTGCACGTCGCCGTCCTCCGCCGGGACCTGGAGCTGGTGCAGCTGCTGCTCCGCGCGGGCGCCGACCCCGACAGGCCGGTGGGTGCCCCCCAAAGCGGGCTGGGGGGTCCTCGAGCCCCCCAGAGCCCCCTCTGACCCCGCCGTCCCCCCCAGGAGCCGAGCTGCGGCCGCAGCCCCCTGCACTTGGCCGTGGAGGCGCAGAGCCCCGAGGTGGCCGAGTGCCTCCTGCGGGGGGGTGCCCGGCCCGACCCCCGCACGTTCTCGGGGTACACCCCCCTGTACAGCGCCCGGCGCCGCCCTGACCCCCGCCTGCCCCCCCTGCTGCGGCGCTTCGGGGCCCGGGACCCCCCCAGCGACAGCGACAGCGATGACAGCGACAGCGAGGGGGGGGCCGAGGACAGTGAGGTCAGTGACACCCCCCCCCCAGAACAAACAGCACCCCAAAACAGCACCCCAAAACCCCTTGGGCTCCTCTCATAAGCTGAGGGGGCTCCAGGCAGCCCCCCCGAACTCCTGCAGCCCCCCCAAACTGCCTCCCCCCCCAGGAGGAGTACGACGACATCGTCATCAACAGCGGCCGCTGCCCAGACTGAGGGGCCCCCACGGAGCCCCCGCACGGACTCGGGGGTCCTTCCCCCACTCCCCCAGTGTGGAGGAGCCCCCAAAGCTACCCCTGCCCACCCCCAGGCCCGGGGGGGCCACGAGAGGCTGGGGGGGTCAACAGGAAATAAAGGAGGGAAGAGACGCGTGTGTTCTGGGATGCGTCTGTGTGTGCGGGACACGTGTGTGCTGGCACGTGTGTGCATGCAGGGAACACACACGTGGAGGGGACACGTGTGGCCAGAGCACCCCCAGGGCACAGACAGAGCAGGACACGCGTGTTCCCACGGGTTGCAGCTTACGAGGGGGGGGTACAAGACTTTATTTCAGAGCTTGTTGCCACGGGGGACGCAGACAAGGGGGTCTCCCGCCCGTGACGTGTCCCACACGTGACACGTGTTCCACATCACGTCTGTCTTGTCCCACGTGTGTCTCGTGTCAGCCCATGTCCATCCATGTTCTGTCCGACTCCTGCCCTCGTGGTGCTCCCAGGGCTCCCCTCGCCTCAGGGGGCCCCCCCAGTGTCCGCCCTGTTTTTGGGGTCCCCCCCGGGGCCGCCCCCAGGCTGGTTGGGGCCGATGTAGCGCAGGAGGGGCGCGGGGGGTGGGGACAGCACCTCCTGCCCCACCAGGGGCTGCAGGACGGGGGGGACACGGACACGGCCATCCTGGGGGACGAGGGGGGGGCAGGGTGGGGTGAGCCCTCCCTGCACCCCCAGTTCCCCATGGGAAAGCCCCCCCAAAACCTACCGGCAGCTGGTTGCTCTCCAGGAGCGCGATGAGCATCCGGGACACGGCGCAGGCTGTGCCGTTCACCTGGAGGGGTCAGGGGTTTAGGGGGGCTTGGGGGCCTCTCCCGGGGTTTTGGGGGCCCCCCCCAGGGCTCGGGGACCCACCGTGTGGGCGTGGCGCAGGCGGCCCCTCCCGTCGCTGTACATGATGTTCAGCCGCCGGCTCTGGTAGTCGGTGCAGTTGGAGGCACTGGAGATCTGGGGGGGGGTGGGGCTCAAAAAGAGAGTTCTGAGGGTTTTGGGGGACCCCCCCACTCACTCCAGGGACCCCCTAAATGGGGGTCAATCTCCTGATTTGCCACAAAAGTGGGGGGGAATCCTCCAGCTGTCCCATCAACAGGGGGGTCTCTGCCATTGGATGGCCTGAGGGGGGGATCACCCTGCACACCCCTCGAAATATCAGGGTCCTCCTGGAATTCTGGGGTCATGTCCCCCCTCACCTCCCCGTATTTGCCCCGTCCAGGCATCCAGGCCTCGATGTCGAACTTGCGGTATGCGGGGAGCCCCAACTCCTCCGTGGGCATGTCCAGGACCCTGCGGGCGGTGGGGGGGATTTAGGGGCATCACAAGGGATTTTTGGGGTGACACACAGAGAGGGGACACCCCCAAAACCCCCCTCACCGGTAATGGAGCCCCAGCTCCGAGAAGATTTCCTTCTGCAGTCCCAGGAACTCGGCCAGCAGCTCCTCACTCTCTGTCCCTCGCTCCGTCGCCGTCACCCCGAACATCTCCACCTTTGGGGGGCACACAAGGCTGACCCCCCCCTTTTCTGCACCCCCTGGGGGGGCCTCCCAGTGCTCCCAGTACCTTGGTGAACTGGTGGACACGGTAGAGCCCCCACGGCTCCCGCCCCGTGTCGGTCTCGGCGCGGTAGCAGGTGCTGGAGCAGACGACCCTGGGGGGAAAAGGGGGTGTTGGGGGGTGCCCTAAATGCCCAGGACCCCCTGGGAAGGGGTGAGGGGACCCCAAAAGGGAAGGGGGAGCTGGAGTGGGGGGAAACCCCCCCCCGTACCTGACGGGCAGGTTCTGCAGCTGCACCGCGTGGTCCATGAAATACCCTGGGCCAGAGGCTGGGTTTGAGGGGGCCAGGGAGCACACAGAGCCCCCCAAACCTGTTTGCACCCCCTCTTCCCACCCTTTTCCCCTGTTTTTCCCCGCTCCTCCCCCTCGTTTTGCCCAATTTCCCACCTGCAATTCCCACCTCCGAGGTCCCAGCCAGGCAAAGGTCCTCAAAGCGCGACGGGTCGATGGTGTAAACAGGGGAGGGGGTGGCACTGAGCTGCACCCCACAGCCTTCCTGGGGGTCACAGGGGTCGGGGGGGGTCAGGGGAGTCCCAGAGGGTCAGGGGGGTCAGGGGGCACGGGGGGGTCACTCACAAAAACGGCGCCTCGGAGCAGGTCAGGGACCGTCATGGGCAGGAAACCCTGGGGGAAAGGGGGGGTCATCAGGGGGCACGTGGGGCCTGACCAGACCATCCCTGGATCCTGGACCCCCCCCGAGCCCCCCAGCCCTCCATACCTTGGGCAACAGCTTCCCCAAGGTGAAGGAGACGAGCGCGTGTTGCAGCAGCGCCCCGGCCCCGCACAGGTAATAGGAGCGATGGCCCGACACGTGGGACAGGCGCCTGCGACAGGGGAACACGTGTGGGACACCTGTGTAACATCTGGGGGCGTCCCCACCCTGAACAGGTAATAGGAGCGATGGCCTGACACGTGGGACTGGCGCCTGCGACAGGGGGACACGTGTGTGACACGCGTGGGACACGTGTGACACAGGTCAGGTGTGACAGATGTGACACGGGACAGGTGTGTGACACACGTGACACGGGACAGATATGACATGGGACAGATGTATGACATGGGACAGGTGTGTGTCCCTCCAGGTGCTCTCTCACCTTTGCCGGATGATGTCCAGCCCCTCCCCCAGCTCCAGGTGTCCCTTTGGTTTGAAATCAAACACTGGGGAGGGAGGGGGGAATGGCCTTTGTCACCTTCATCACCCTCAGACCCTCCTCACCCCCCCAGATCCTTCATCAGCCCCAGACCCTTCTCCCCACTCCCCAGATCCTCCTCACCCTCCCCTGGACCCTTCTCCTCCCCACAGACCCTCTTCTTCCTCACGCTGGGGCCCTCCCAGTGTCTTCGTCCCCCCTCCCCAGGACCTCTTTTCTCCCCAGAACCCTCCTCCTCCTTCCCCCCAGTTCCCACATACCTGGTTTCTCCCCAACCACCTCCAGCACCCGGGCCTGGCTCTGGTCCCCGACGGGCTGGGGGGGGCACGGGAGGGGGTCAGGAGCCCTCCAGTCTCACCACAGCGGGGTGGGTGCAGTTGGGCAGCTGCACAGGGTGTTCGGGGGGGTTTTGGGCTCACCACAGCGGGGTGGGTGCAGTTGGGCAGCTGCAGGGCCCCCAGGTAGAACCTCTGCTCCAGGTCGGACTCCTCGGCCTCGAGCTCCCGGAGCTGTCCCCGGACCTGCCGGCCCCGCGCCCGCAGCGCCGCGTACGCCGGGAGCTGCGGGGGGG